GGGGGGGTTGTTACCTATTTCAATCTTTCTTTGCCTCGTGTCCTTGCAGTATCTTCACCATAGCGAGGCCCCGCCTGGTGATCCTCCACGGAAACGCTGTACCCGTTGACCCCATGTGGGACGCCATCTTGCCCGTGGCCACTAACCTGGTGCACGTGCACAAAGAGCCGCAGACGTCTGTCAACGGGAAGAAGATCAAGAACGTACAGAACCAGGCCGACATTGGGCGGATAGAGATCTTGATTGGTGGGTACTGGGGGTAGTACAGGGCGGGGATGATTGGGGGTGGTGTTGGTGGTTGGAGGGTGGCTTTGGTGTGTTGAGGAGAATCAAGAACGTGCAGAACCAGGCCGACATTGGCCGTATAGAGATCTTGATTGGTGAGTACTGGTGATGGTGCAGGGCAGGATGGGGAGGAGGGAGGGGGATGGGGTGGGTGGGTGGATGGTGATGGGTGGTATTGGTGTTTTGAAGAGTGGCACTGAGCGGGAAAGATTGGGGGGGGGGTGTTGGTGGTTGGAGGGTAGCTTTGGTGTGTTGATGAACATCAAAAACGTGCAGAACCAGCTGGACATTGGCCGTATAGAGATCTTGAGGGGGCTGTCGTGGCCTAGAGGTTAAGGTGTTTGCTTCTCTTTCAAAGGTCTCGGGTTCGAATCCGAGTAGCGACGGAAATTGTTCTTCTCTCAAATGTTCTACTTTCACCTCCTTTCCTGCTCTCTAACAATGTTCTGTCGTCTGCTTTCATCTCCACTTTCTGCCCCCACTCCTTCACCTCATTTGCCCCCTCCTATGGGCTCCTGGCTTTTTCTGCAGCCTTTCTACTGCTTCTCCTTGGCTCCTTCTTACTGTTGTCTTTCAGCCACACCACTGATCTTATGGTAGGAAAGATCTACACCTAGCTTTCTCGGACAAGGGCGAAAAGTCTCGGAGGTCCCATTTGCAATTTGTGCACGTTAAAGATCCCTTGGTGGTCCAAAATCGACAAGAGTAGGTTTTAGCCGCCACCCGGGCAAAATTAAAAATTTCCTTCCCCTGAAAATGTTTGATGTGTCCCGCGCGCTCATATGACCTTATTATGCTGTTGCGAGCGCCGTAAAACACTTTCCAAAAAGAAAAACTCAAGAGATCTTGATCGGTGAGTACTGGAAAGGGGTGCGGGAGATGGTTGGGGAGGGGGTTGGTATTGGTGTGTTGAAGAGTGGCACAGAGCAGGGATAATTGGGGATGGTGTTGGTGGTTGGAGGGTGGCATTGGTGTGTAGGGAGAGGGTGGTTGGGGGGTGGGTGTTGTATTGGTGTAAGGGAGAACCTCAAGAACGTGCGGAATCAGACGGTCACAGGCTGTATAGAGGTTTGTATTTGTGGGTAGTGGAGGTGGTGCAATAGAGAAAGTGCGTCACGCAAAGACTATGTGAAACTTAAGCAAGTTTTTCGATGATCGTTGAGAGATCATCTATTTTTAATCCTGTTAGATCTTGCCGCGGGTGTGTTTTCTGTTTTTGTAATTAAATGTAAAATGAAGACATAAATACAGATTCCATGTATCCCCGTTGGGGGGAAAAATAAGTGTTATCTATTATTAATCTTTGTGCTACATAATATTATTGTTGAATCTTGCCCTGGGGCTTTTTATATTGATTGATATCATTTGATGCGGTTAGATGCGGTTGAGGGCGTCACATTTTCCCTCATGAGCAGGGGGGGGGGAGGAGGA